TGTGTGTGTGTGTGTGTGTGTGTGTGTGTGTGTGTGTGTGTGTGTGTGTGTGTGTAGAAGACTAAGAGAAGTCACTCAGGATGTGGCATAATTAAGCAAAGCCATACTCCTTCCCAATGTCCAGTCCATTACTGCAGATACAGTTATCATCCCAGCACACAATTCTGATCATACTTCTCCCTTGCTCAGAACTCCTCAGTGGCCCCCCAGTACTTAATGATTGGAGTCCAAAGTTCTTAACATGGCATCAAGGTTTACCATGTCCCTAACCAACCATTCCAGTCTAGTTTGTCCAATATTCTTACCATTCCATAAATATGTCTTGAGTTTTCCTGATTCCATGCCTTGGCTCACACACATTGTCACTACCACCTAGAATGTTCTCCCTTCATCTCTACTTTTCTGAAATCTTACCTATCCTTCCCAGTCCAGCTCAAATGCTACCTCCTCTTCACATGTGAAACCAGATGTGATCTCTCTTTCCTTTGAAAGGCTTTTCCACAGATGATTAACAATTGATAAAAAGAACAGCTAAAGGAGATAAGCATTTTCACGCCCTTTTTATCTCTCTTTTGCTCTTATCATCCTCTACAATGGATTATAATTATTAATGTTATTTGTCATCTCCCCCATGAGACTATAAGCTTCACTGACAGTCACAGACATTGTCTTGTTCACTTTTCTTTACCCCAGATTTTTTAGCATAGTTCCTCACATGCGGTAAATTCAGCAAATATCTGGGTCCATCCTCGTTCTATCACTTATTTCTTACTTTATGACCTTGGACAAGTCACTTGACCTCTTTGGACCCAAATTTCCTTATTTATAACATGACAGGGTTAGACTTATCAGGGATGGGTAACCTGCGGCCTCCAGGCCATATGTGGCCTCCTAGGTCCTTGGGTGTAGACTTTTTACTGAGTCCCAATTTTACAGAACAAATCCTTTTATTAAAGGAATTTGTCCTGTGAAGTCTAGATTCAGTCAAAGGGCCACACTTGAGGACCCAGAGGATGACATGTGGCCCTGAGGCCACAGGTTCGCACCCCTGAGATATTCTCCATGGTTTTCTACATGTTTAGATCTATAACCCTATACTAAGTCTCATCAAAGTTGAACTGAACTGAAAAAAAAAAAGCAGAAATGGTTGGCTATGAGCAATGTTTGAAAGATTCATGTCATATTAAGAAACAGAATCAAATGTGATCATGAAAGTATGTCAGAAACTATAAATTATTTTGTAAAAATAAGTGTTACAAATACAATAGATTATTATGATTATTCTAGTCCTGTTAATGGGGGCACCCTGTGCCCCCAACACCGCATAGAGCTAGAAAGAATTCAGAAAAAGGGAACTAAAATGAGTAGGATTGAATAGGAAGCCAAGTTCAAGATTATTGGGGAAGGGACAGATCACGTTCAGTTGATCAGGAGTGGGGAAAGACCTCATGAATACAGAAGGATAAGAAGAATTTCAAGGGGGTGACATCCAAACTCTTCATAATGAGTAAACACTTTGATTGTGCTCCTTCCTAGGCTTTGTCTTTCCAGAGAAGACATCTTGTGTGTGTATGTGTGTGTGTGTGTGTGTGTGTGTGTGTGTGTGTGTGTGTGTGAGACAGACAGACAGACAGACAGAGACACAGAGAGATAGAGACAGAGAGACACAAACAGACAGACAGGAAAAAAGACAGAGAGATCAAAAGTCTGTGTTTTTGTCGGGGAAGAAACTTTCTCCCCGTTACTGTGATGCTCCATAAATTTTGCTAAATTATTGTGGCTAAAAAATTCATCACCTTGGAGCCAACCTGGTGATGAGCCTTCCCAAATAGCTAAGCTTGTCTTCGAACAACAGTGATAAAACCAGGCACCGAGCTATATATCATAAGGCGGCATTGGAGTATAACTTTAGGGATAGTGTGTACTCATAGTAATAATTTTAAAATTCACATTTATATAGTACTTTAAGGTTTTAAAATGGTTTTTCTCACAAAAATCCTGTGAAATAGCAAGTATGAGTTTGATTATCCTCATTTTATAGATGAGGAACCAAGGTTCAGAGAGTTTATATGGTTTTCCAAATGTCACACATAAATACTAAGAATGTATACATATACAAATACAGTTCCCTACATCAATGAAATCGCAAGTCTAGATTTTTTTACAATACACATATATGTCTTTATGTGTGTGTATATGTGGGGGATGGGGACTGGGTTCATGATTAAATAATAAAGGGAAATCTCAGATGAAGAAATTCTATTGATACAGGTCAACATTTTCTTTAAAACTAAGTCTTACAGAGGTACCTAGAGCACTGAAAAATTAAGTGATCTGCATAGGGTCACACAGCCAATATATATCAGATGCTGCATGTTATATATGGGTGTGTATTTGTATATATACATATATACACATACACATATACTATATATACTTGTATACATACACACAAATATATAGACATGGGTGTGTATATATGAATGTGGCAGTGAGTTGCTTTTCGTTGCTTTTCGAGGTCCTCACTGAGAGTTCCCCATACCATCGAAATCATAGATCAGGTCTGAAATATATACAGATACACATATATGTATCTGTATATAATTCAGACCCGACATATGTACACACACAAATATAGGTATGTTTACGTGTATATGTATATATGTGATATATATATCTATGCATATAATACATTCACATAGAAATACTCTGACTTTTGAAAGTACTTTACAATAAAGTCACCTCCTCCACAAAAACAGCTAACATGTAGAAACTTCATTAATGTAGTTTGGTGACTCATCTGTCACCTGTAATCTTAGAAGGTCTAAGAGATTAAGTTACTATAGTCCCCCAGCTAGATGGGGCAGCTACATGGCTCAGTGGATAGAGCTCTGAGCCTAGAGATAAGAAGATCTGAGTTTGAATCAGGCCTCAGGCACTTATTAGCTGTTTGCCTTAATCCAGTACAGAAGGAAATGGCAAACCTCTCTAATATCTTTGCCAAGAAAACCCCATGGACAGTATGGTCCACAGAGTCATGAAGAGTCAGATACAACTGAATAACAACAACATAACCCCGTAGCCAATATGTATCAGAGGCAGGACCTGAAGCCAACAGATTCAGACTCTAAGACTGGGCCCCTTACTATTACACAGTGCTTAGTAATATTTATGCACTTACGTATAGACACATAAGTGTGGGCATACAGGAGACAAAACCACTTTTTTTAGTTGGGGAAAGTGAGTTTTTTATAAGTGCTTTTGAAACCAAAATATTTGTATTAACTTGATAATGGAAACAGATCTTGGTTGACCTGAAACAAAATGCTTAACATTTCAGACATAACATGTTTCAGAGGAGTTGAGGGTCAAGGATAATACACTGACAGCTACTTACCATGGAACTCAGTCAGGTTGTCACCTTTCATAGTGCTCACAAGCTGCCTTCCATCACGAAAATCCTTTCCTTTCTTCAACATTGTCTTTACAGCAGAAGCATAAAGCAGGACTGCATCGTGAAGGTAAGCAGAATAAGCACTCACCTTAAGCAAGAAAAGGGAAATAATTTTTTTAAGCAATCAGGGTTAAGTGACTTGCTCTCGATCATACAGTCAGTAAGTGCCTGAGATCACATTTGAACTCAGGTCCCTTCTAGGGCTGGTGCTCTGTGCCATCTGGCTGCTCAGGAAGTGATATTTTTTTTTTAATCTCCATTCGACCCAGTGACTCTTCTCTGGTCATTCACTCAGGTAACTTTCTATATCCCATTCATTTGACTCTACACTGAACTACTTGCCATCTTCTTAATCATATACTGCCTTGTGACATTTATGCTATTGGATTGACCTGCTGCTTATCCCCTATGTTGGTTTTTGTTTTTGGAATATTTATGTCTTGCTTCCCTAGATTATAAATTCTTTGAATGAAGGGCTATATCCTAGAGTTCTTAGTATCCACACGCCCACCTCATCCAGTGCCTAAAATATAAAATCTATACAAAAAAATATTCATGGAAATACTCAAAGAATCAGTAAGCTATAAAAGATCTTAGATATTATCTAATCAAGGGGATCTTAATGTTTTTTATGTCATGGACTCTTGGCATTCTGTTGAAGACTACGAACCCCTTCTCAGAATAATGTTTTTAAATATATAAAATATATAAATACATAAATATATAAAAATGTTTTTAAATATATAAAACAAAATATATAACATTATAGTAGAAAGTAATTAAATTTTTTAAATTATCAAAATATTTTTAAAAGACCAAGTTCACAGACCCAAGGTTAAAATCCCAATCCCCTTATTTTTTCTGGTGTTCAGTCATTTCAATCATGTCTAACACTTTGTGACCCCATTAGGGGTTTTCTTGGCAGAGAAACTGGAGTTGTTTACCATGTCCTTCACCCATTTTACAGATGAGGAAACTGAGGCAAACAGGATTAAGTGACTTGCCCAGGGTCACACAGCTAGTAATTCCCTTATTTTACACATGTTAATACCGAATCCTTGAGAAGGATTGTAACTAATATGATGGGTAGAGCATTGGATTAGGAATCAGAAAGACCTGGGCTTGAATCCTGCCTTGGACACTAACTGTCTAGGAGATGGTGGGCATGTCAGTTAACTTTTCTGGGCCTCCATCTTCTCTGTAAAATGAAGAGATTGGACTTGATGACCTCTATAGTCCCTTCCAGTTCTCAATCTATGAACCTGTAATCCTAAGTGAAGTGAATTGCTCCCAATTACATGGTAGAGAGTCTAGCAGAATCTGGACTCAAACTCAGGCCTCTGGCCTCTTGACCCAACAGTAGAGACTCCCTTTTTACTACATCACATTACAATTTGTGGATTGATGTTGTTAGGATCTATCATCAGCTGTGTGTTCTCATTCTCTTTCCTGATCAGTCAGAGTCATTCACCTACTCTCACCTGAGAGCTCAGAGCTGTCCGTGTCCTAGGAGGACTTCCTGCCATAACAGGAGGCATCTAAGGAACCCCTGGCTAGATTAGTATCGGGTATGCTTGAGAGGGCTCTGATCGCTGGTTCAACCTATTGACTTGTCTGTCTTCCTGCCTCAGATTGTTGACATGTGGCTTTGCTGTGTTGAAAAGCGTGTGCTCTTTAGCTCATCCTATCTTGTTAGATTCTTTATCTCTGCTAATTATGTCTCTCTTTGGCTTTGAATCTACCTAGTAACCCTGGCTCTGCAGTATACATTAGCTTAGCATGACATTTATAGAGATTTGTTTGTATCACAAAATATAGAAATCCTAGAATGTTTGGGACTGAAGGTGACTCAGAGGTCATCTAGTCCAATCTCTATATTTTACGGGGGGCAGGAAGGGAGGGGAAATCAAGGTCCAGAAAGGTGAAATAATTTAACTAAGGTCACAAAGCTAGTGAGTAGCAGAGTAGGGACTAGAAGACAAGTCTTCTGATTTTTAGTCCAATGTCCTTCCTTCTGCCCTACTCTAATCCCATGTCATGCAGGGGGGATGGGGAGAAAGGGATGAAGAAGAAGTCAAATTAAAAAACATGTTATCCTTTAAATGAAGGTAGCCAAGAAGTTCACCAGTGGCATTTATGAATCAGTCCTAAAATGGATACCCTCATAAGTGAACCTTGAATCAGACCTGCTCCACTGATGAAAGGGAACTGAGAAAGGGCTTCCCCTTCAGCTTTTCGTAGACCTCCTTCATGAAATCATGGTCTTTGGAATGTTCATCAAAGGAAGTGATGGCTATGAGAAACATAGAGTCAAAGGCTTTGGGGAGTTGATCATTCTTCTGATGAGTCAACACTTCTTTCCAAAAATCATCCTAAAATATTAAAAGAAACATTTTGTTCCATATCCTATCAATTCTAATTTTTTCACATTATGTATTGTAATGTTAGCAATTCCCTTGATTAAAGCAGCCTGTGTTTAAAATGGCAGTAAGATTTTTGGAATACCCTGTATTATATCATTTGATCCTCCTAATAACTGTGAAGTAGATAGATGGGGGGTGGGGTTCTTAATTTGGAGTTCATGAACTTAAAATATAGATACACATACATATATACACACATATGTGTATATATATACATAACATATACATACACACATATAATTGTAATCCAATATAATTGGTTTCCTTTGTAATCCTACATATTTTATTTTATTCATTTAAAAACATGAATATAAGGAGTTTATAGGCTTCACTCCTCTGCCAAAAAAGAGCCATGATACATACAAAAATGTTAAAAACCTCTGTAGTAGTACAAATATTATTTTTTCCTTTGGTTTTAAAAATTTTTTTATTGATATCTTTTGTTTTTAATGATATTTTCATTTTCAAATATGACCTTTCCCCTTTCTCTACTCAATCCTTGCAACAATAAATAAAAAGAAAGAAAAAAGAACCATTCAGCAAAAGCAATGAACATATCAACCAAGTCTGGCAGAATATGCAATATTCAATATCCATAGTCCCCCACTTCTTTAAAGAAAGTTGGGATGTGTATTTTTTCCTTTCTTCTTCAAGGACAAGCTTAGTCATTACAACTAAGCTGCACTTAGTTTCATTTTTTATTGTCATCATCGATGTTCTTTTGATTTACAGACCTGTAGTCATCACATCTATTGTTTCTTGATTTTCTTACTTTACTTTGCATTAGTTCATATGGGTCTTCCCAAGCTTCTCTGAATTCATAGCCATCATTTCTTACAATGTAGTAATATTTCATTATAATTATGGACAGTAATATAGTCAACCTTTTCCTTAGTAGATAAGCATCTATTTTGTTTCCGATTCTTTACTACTACAAAAAAATGCTGCTATGAATATTTTTGGTATATATGGAACCTTTCATTTTCCATTGGACTAGAACCAGTTTCCATATTTTACATAACTTCGATTAATATTAATCTGAATACATGCAACCAACTCAGGGAAATTGCTATTGTTATTTGTACTTATCAAGACCTAGTTATTTGTCTAGTAGGAAAGTAAGACTTCCAGAAAAATCATATAATGTATGACAAATGTATCATTGTGGATAATTTCAATTAAAAGCAATAGTTTCATGAAAACAATATAATGTTTCATATATGAGTGAGTAGGGCTGGAGACAAGAAAGCACACATGCAGTACTTGAAAACATATTGTCTGAATACGACCTGACTCTTTGCTTCGCTGACACAATTTGAAGGTTATTACTTTGGGTTTTTACATCATAAGGGATTTGGGATGGAAAAAAATTACTTTTCTGCCATGTAGAACTCTACAGGGCCTTGGGTTATCCACTATCTCAGGTTACTCACACCACTTTTGCTTTCATTCAATTTGATAGCTGAAAAATAGCCTTTAACCTAAAAGAATTACATACTTAAGAGGCATTTAAGAGTACCTCAATCTTAAAGTAAAAGTCAGAGGGCAACCCATCCTTTATCCTCAACTGGACTCGCAAACAATTACTGTTTATTCACTGACCTCTAACTGCTGCAAAATGATGAAGACAAATTTTCCAGGGGCTAGTCCCAGTGTCTCTGTGGCCAGAAGAATAGTCCAGGCATCAGCTATGTTGCAGATTAAAATGATAACTATAGGAAGAGAAAACAGAATTAGCCACTCTGGGGACCCAACACCCCCTCCACCTTAATAGAAACCAAATCCTAGTCTGAAGTATAAGAATAAGATTAGAGCCAAAAGTATTTCAATCTTTTTTTTTTTAAAGCTCCCAACATATCCCACAGGCTTATTTCTTTTCATTTAAGTGGTATTTTGGCATAATAGATGGTGATCGGGCCTTGGAGCCGGGAAGACCTGAATTCAATTTCCTTCTCTGCTACCTATGGGCTGTGTGTCCCTGGGCAAATTACTTAAAGGCTAAATGCCCCCAGGCAACTCTCAGAGCCCATAAATTGCAAAGATGATGATCTTCAATTAGAAGTAAAAGTTCTTCACCCAGACCTTCCTAACTGACAAAATCAAGAGTCCAGTCAAGGGGAAAAAAAGTTTCATTCCTAAAAATGGAGAGTACCTTGCAACCTTTGCCCTAACAGAGTCATTGTTTCAAGGTCTCTAATCATCCCCCGACAGCACTGCCAGAGCAGACAGAACTCTAGACTTGGAGTCAGGAAGACTAGGGTTCAAATCCTTCCTCAGGTATTTACTAGCAGTGAAATCCTGAGCTAGTCACTTAAGCTCTCTCAGCCTCCGGTGTAAAATTGGCATCATAATAGCACCTGCCTCAGGGTGTTGTTATGAGGATCAAGTGAGATAACATATCAATCAGCAAGCATTTATTAAATGTTTGCTATGTGTTAGGTACTTTCCCGAAGGCTGGGGATACAAAGGCCTGGGGATGCAAAGAAAGGCTAAACACTTTCCAAACCTGAAAGAGCTATATACATAGTAGCTATTGTCACTATTACTGATACAGTGCTTGAATCCTATTTCTCTTCTGCTCAATACACTTCAGTGCCTCCCCATTGCTTGCAGAATAAAGCCCCAACACTTAGTGGGGCACAGAGGGTCCTCCACAATCTAGTGCCACCTTACTTTTCCACCCTTATCACCCTTATTTCCTCCTTTACCTTATATTCCATCCTAACTCCCCTACCCCTCATGGACTGTATGCCCCAGCCAAACTGACCTCACAGTTTTCTGAATACATCCCATGCTCTGAGCCCTGTGTGCCTTTGCTCATGCTATTCTCTGTGCTTGGAATATTTCTGCTCCAAGCTCCACAACCACACACCAGTCTGCCTGTAGACATCTTACCCATCTTTGAATGCTGACATTAAATGCCTCCTCCTTCAAACACCTTGTTGATTCTTCTGACTGTAAATGATCTCATGATCCCTCCCTAATCTGACCACATAGAACTTTTCTTATGCACTTAAAAAATCCAATTTACATTTATTTGAATGAATCAGAGTATATATTTAATCAGCCATACAAGACTGTAAGCTCCTAGGCTGAGGGTTTGTCTTTTTTTTTAGCTTTTTTAACTCAGTGCTCTAAGATGCATAATATTTTAGCTTTGCATCTCCCCAAGCATAATGTTCTGTACAGGGTAGGTGCTTAATAAATACTTATTGGATGAAAAAATTCAATGAAGTCCTGGATTTGGGCTCAAAGGGCCTGGGTTTGATTCCTGGCTCTGCTACTTATTATTTGTGTGATACCTTGGGCAAATTATTTAAATTCTCTGAGCCTCAGTTTTCTCTTCTGTAAAATGCTATGGGTGATTAGATATATGAAGTAAATTCAAGAAAGGAGTTAAGGATAGTGCCGGAGTTATAAATCTAAGTGACTGGAAGGATTGTAGTATGCTCAACAGAAATAGAAAGTTTTGAAAGAAAGATAATGAATTCTGTTTTGGCCGTGATGAATTTGAGTTACCATGTGACATCTAACTTGAAATATCCAAAATTTTTTATATGGGATTGGATTGTGTGAGATAAACTAGGACTAGCTATATAAATCAGGGAGTTGCATGTACAGAGAGAATAATTAAGCTCATGGAAATCTTGAAGGAAATTTCATGAGAAACTTGGAAGAATAAAGGATTTTTTTAGAGAAGGATATGAAGATGAGGGTGCATTCCAGGCATCATCTGGATGGGAAAAGGGCAGGAAAAGGAAAGCTGAATTTGGGGAAGACAGAATAGAGAGGATAGGTTAGTTTGGCTTCATATAGGTGAAGAGGAATAGAATGAAATTAATATTGGAAGATAGATGGGAGCCTCAAGAAAGCCTAAGAGGCTTTCAACATCAAACTGAAGAAGAGTTTGTGTTTTGTACAAATGATAATGGAAAGTCACTGAAACTTCTTGAGAAGAGGCTTGTTGATATGGCCAGACCTGTACTTTATGTTGTGAAAAAGACCAGCACCACAAAGTCTAATTAGAAGGCCATTGTCTAGGTAAGAGGTCATAAAGGTCTGAACTGGGGTGATGACTGTGTAAGTAGGGATGGAGGAATGGTTGCAAGAGATGTTGTGCATGTGGAATCCAGAAAAATTGGCAAATCCAACCAACATGAATAAATGAGAAAATGCAGGCAAAATATCTTATAATCATAAGGCACCATGTACTTGTTATTATTATTAATGTCACCTCTTTCGTGCCCAGGACAGGTTGAGCAGGGCAACTGACTGTGGGGAGCATTTAGGGGGAAAATCACTGAAATAAAAAGCAACCCAGGATCTGGACACATCAGGGAAGGAACGTCCCCCCCTTGACACCCTGCCCCATGACCATTATCTTTGATTCTTTTTTTTTTTTGGATTGGGGTTAAGTTACTTACTTTGGGTCACACAGCTAGTAAGCATCAAGTGTCTGGTCTGCGACCAGGACTGGAAACTCAGGTCCTCCTGACTCCAGTATCGTTGCTCTATCCACTGTGCCAGCTAGCTGCCCCTCCCATGACCATTATCTTTCTTTTTCCCTTTTTTTCCCCATTCTTTTGCCATTTGGCCTCATTTATTGTTGGGGGTTGGGAAGTGATTTTGGCAAAGTTTTAGCATAACTGTTTTTCTCTTCTCTGTATTCTGCATAAATAAAGAGGCTTTCCCTGAAAATCTCGCTCCGGGCTTCAGAAGCAAGTAGTTTAGAATCAAAGGCAAGGAGGACTTAAGAAGAATCCTTTACACCCCTGAATGTTTTTGCCTTTGTAGAGGCCTAAGCTAAGAGTAGGACAGTTAATTTTAGAAATACTGACAGATCAAACAAGGCACTAAGGACAGAAATGGGATAGGAGGGCTGATTCAATAGCTATTATTCAGCAACAAAATAACATTTTGTAACTTTAAAATGATTGGAATTTCTCGAATTTTCTTTGCAGGACAATGACCCTGTGAAATGTTAGTTTTGTTATGCTGGGATATAGAGAGGCTAAATGATTAGCTGTCAGCTACCCAGCAATCCAGATGGTTAGGAGGTGTTACCAGTGTCACTAACCCACCCTAAATAAGACAGTGACTTCCAGATTCTTTCAATGGGGAGAAGGAAGGGAAAGGTTCAGTAAGCTATACATGTTACTTCTTCCCATTGGACATCTCCTATAGAGCTCACCAGTAAAAACAAAACCAAAACAGGAAGAAGAATGTAACGTTGCTTTTTATATGACACAAATGAAATGATGATTGTTTTATAAAAATTAATTAAATGATACTTTTTACCTATTTAAGTAGAAATAAGTTATTAATTCACACCAAAAATGTCTGAAAAGTACAAGCACGTATAATTTCAATACTGATGTTAAACTGAGCAAGTCCTTGTATCACCTGGAAAACCTTCAAAGACCATAATTTGGGAGTCATTGCAATAAAAATAATTGGGATTTGACTTCAGAAAAATCAAATGTCTTACCGAAACTGAGGACTGATTTTGTATTGTTTACACGTATGTATGTGTATGTATATAGATGACACATTTAGTTATAGCATTAATCAGATCCCTTTCAAACATGTTTCAATATTTTTAACATTTCTGAAAATAAAAAATCGTTTCCTTGCTAAATCCAGAACTCTTTTTGGTCAAGTATTATAAATAACAACCTCCCCTCCTCACAATCACCCAACCCCCACCCCCTCTTCTTACTTCTGGCAGAAGATGTTCCATGCTGGAGATTCTCCTTCAGGAGAGTTTGGTTGCTGCTGGTACATCTGACTTGCGTAGTGATGACAAAATGAGATTTGAGCTGGTTTTCCACAGTTGTCCACAACTCATCAAGTTCATGCCGAGAGGAATCACTTGAGGCTTCTCCAAATAACCCAATGTGTTTCCAGCCAAAATAGAGGAGAACTGCCTGGAGTACTTCCCCCATTTTCTGAACAGGTGTTGCAAGATTCATGTAGGTATCATACAAGAATCTGTTCTCCAGTCTAGTTGTTTGCCTGACAAATCCAAACATGGGAATGTTCCATTGTGAAGCCAACAAGCCAGTTACCTGGGAATTCAAAAGGACCCTTCTTCATGACGGTATTCATAATTCATTCAAAGCCTCATTCTAAAGTACCTTGATAAACCAATCATTTGGTGAGATCAAATCATATCCCTACTTGGATAAAAGTAACGGGCCCTGTATCATTAAATATCCCATATCTTAATTTTTATGGATAAGTAAAGTGAGGCCCTGAGAGGTAAGGTGACAGAGAATAAGCATTCCTGTAGTAAAAGCATGGTTTGCAATCTTGGGATTCAATCCAAAGCTTTATTTGCATGATAGCAAAGTTTTACCTCATTTATACTTGCAGTAGTAACCTCTGAAATTTTTGTGAATAGTCTACTAATTCCCATTATACAGGAATCAGATGAAAAAAAGGAGGAGATATTGCTACTATTTACCTGTCTTTGATACACAGAAAGGAAATCAAATGTTCATTAGAGCTTTCCCATTGATGAATATGCCTCTATTTTCAGCACGGTTCTCTAGGAGTATCTGACTAGGTTTAAAGGTTGAACTGAGGCTTAAATGATGCCTACTCAGCACAGATGCAAGCAGGTCTTTGGTTCTCAGACATATTTGGATCATACATACATACCATTTACATACATATATATATACACATATATGCACACACTCATAGATTTTATATGATCTACCTGTATTTCCTTTATATACAAACTCAGCAGAGAATATGTATGTGTGTGGGTACATATCCTTTGAGTTTCACAATAATTCCTTGAAGAAGATAAGATAGTATTATAATTATTATCTGAACTTTCCAGATGAGGAAAATGAGGCTCATAAAAGAGAAGGGGACACCAGCCAATGAACTACCAGTGATTAGATAGGGAACATGGAATGGTGACAATACTAGATTTGAAGTCAGAGACCCTGGGGCAGCTGAGTGACGCAGTAGATAGAGCACTGTCCCTGAAGTCAGGAGGACCTCAGTTCAAATCTAACCTCAGACCAAACACTTGATACTTACTAGCTGTGTGACCCTGGGCAAGTCACTTAACCCCAATGCCTAAAAAAAAAGAAATCAGAAGCCCTGGCTTTGGATCCCAGCTCTGCATTTTGTGATATGTGCAATCATGGTTAAGCCACCTCCCTGCTCTGGTGTAATTCTCATCTGTAAAATGACCATTAAAATCTATTCTAGCTCTAAACTTCTATGATCTTACTATCTTTTTTAAAAATATGTTTCTTAGTTTTCCTTCATGATACATCTTTACTCCAGAAGATAGAAAATAAGCAATGAGTACTATTTCCCTGGACCTGATTTAATTATTTTTTTCCCAATTAGCAAACTTTTATTTTTTTTTATTATTTTTTCTCCCACTTCCTCCTGTATACCTAGTCAGGGGCAGCTAGCTGGTGCAATAGAGAGCTGGACCTAAAGTTAGGAAGACCTGAATTCTAATCTGGCCCTTAACACTTGCTATCCCACCCTAGACAAGTCTCTCAATTTTTCTCAGCCTTGGTTTCCTCATATGTAAAATGGAGATTAATAACAGCACCTACCTTGCAGAGTTATTGTGAGAATCAAGGGAGATAATATTTGTAAAGCACTTTGCAAACTTTAAAGTACTATAGAACTTTCTACAAATGCTAGTCAAACAAAATAAATTCCTGAAGAGATCACGTCCAAAAAAATATTTAGGGCTCATAAGAAAGAAATGCTGAGGATAACATTATTTGTAATGGTCAATTCAAAACTCATGAAAATACCCGTCCAGGTTTTTTATTGGGGAATTGTAATAATGGTTATCAGAAGTTTTGAGCTAGGTTAATATCACCAGATTGGCTAATATCACCATTGAGATGTTCCCTTTTCCAGAAAGACACACCACAGTAAAAGTTTCATGAACATTGCATACTCCACCTCTGCTGCTCCTGGGCATACTGGTCCAAAGAGGGCAGAAATCCTTTCTTTCTGGACTTGCTTGATAAAAGCATCAAGAGATTCTTTGGCACTACAAGCTGAGTTGGTGTTAGTGAACTCCATGGTATAGTTACCCAAGTAAACTGGGTCAGAATTCACCTTCTCCATGGCGATCTGGATGGCAGCACCCAGCCTCTGGGCACTAAAAGAATTGGAGATGTTCCAAGGAGCTTGGAAGCCCACAATGAGCTTAGTATCCTCTAGACACATGACCAACAGGCTGGGAAGGAATACAAAAATAAGGGTTAGGTAGATAGGACAATGGGACATCCCCCCATACAAACCCAGCTTGAGAAGACAGTTACGAGTGATCCTGAGAGCCATTGTTTGTCTTTAATTCTTAGATCATCTCAGGATTTGGAGCCACAACCTCCCAACTGCTTGTGTTGGCAGCTTAAATAAGAGTGAGTCCTCTCCCCTCCCCCAGGGATTGTTTCTTGTTTTTAATTAAGTGGCACTAATTAACCCAGAACCTTTCTTTCCCCAGGAGCCTCTTCTAACAGAACACAGAGGTAGGAAGAGAGGCTGGAATTAAGATCAGAACAACCTGAATCCTAGTCCCAGCATTGCCCCTTCTCTGCATGACCTAGAGCTGGTCATTCATACTGTCTTTTCCTTCAGGTTCTTGATCTGGAAACTGAGGATGATAAAAACCATTTCAGCATCTCTCCTAAGAATCTCCCTTACTCCACCCCACACACAACCACCCCCTGTCAGGAGGGATCAGGAATGATTGTGGCTGTGAAACATATTTTCATCTTTGTTTTATTTTTGGTGAGGCAATGGGGTTAAGTGACTTGCCCAAGGTCACACAGCTAGTAAGTGTTAAGTGTCTGAAACCAGATTTGAACTCAGGTCCTCCTGACTCCAGGGCTCTATCCACTGCGCCACCTAGCTGCCTGAAACACATTTTGAAAAATTATGTGTTTATTGTCACATACACAAGTCAGTCATCACATAGGTACATGCTTTTAGGCACAAGGAGGACCTGGCGAACGAGTAGGAATGGTTCAATGTAAATCCATTGCCAACCCAGTCAAAGAATATGTCTTGTTTACAGTGGGTCAGCAGTAACAGTTTTATTCTTGAAGTATTTTAGAAAAAGCACTCATCGTACTTCATTTCTCTGAGTCTGAGTGTATTCATAAATCAAATGGAGATAATCATATCTCCCTTACCTATCGTTCAGGGCTGTTGTGAGGATCAAATGAGATGATGTATATAAAATTGGTATATAAACTATAACTTATAATACAAATGTAAGTTCTCTTAAGGACAGATTCTCTAGGGGCATCTAGCCATGCTTATAACTCCAGGAAAGTCTGCCAATGTCAGTTTGTTGACGAGCGTTTATTAAGCACCTACCATATGCCAAAAACCATGCTAAATAATGGAGATACAAAGAAACATAAAAACAGGGACCCTGTCCTCAAGGACCTCACATTCTAAATACACAATGGTATTGAAGTTGGAATTCCCTTCAGCACTGTATAGACCTTCTTCAAATGCTCCTCATTTCTCTTCAAGTTCATTTCCTCTTGTTACATTCAAACAAATGGATGAGGGTGAAAAGAATAGCTGGCAATCATCATTTCTCTGCTCATTCTTCCTTCTTACACTGAGAGGCTGCTGTTGATCCATCAGCTACTAATCCAATAACTCCAAATCCTTTAACTTAATTTTCCTTAGATTTCCCTACTCTACAATGGTAACTATAATCCCTCAGAGTACTTTGTTTTATAAATTATTTCATTTGATTCTGACAACAATATCTTAATGAAGGCACTTTATTTCCATTTTATAAGTGAAGAAATTGATGCACAGAAAATTTAGGTGATTTGCCAAGGTCAAACAGATAGGAACTGGCATAAGGAACTCCCACCTGAGGAGCTTCTGTCTACCAAGGCAGGTCTCTTCACTACAATTTAATCTTTGAGAGTTATCTAAAGCACTGAAAGGTTGAGGGTTTGAGGCAGGGCTTGAATACAGGTCTTTCCTTTCCTTTCCATTATACCACAACTAACAAATGCTATTGAAGCATAGAATGTCAAACAGGAAGGGATCATAGTGTCAACCCCTCAAAGAAGAGTGGTGAAGGTCCCTTGCTCAAATTCACATAGCGAGTGAGTGAGTGACAGAGGTGGGTCTAGAACTTAATTCTTTTGATTCTCAGTCCTGGATCCATTGTACTGCACCCAACTGCTTCCCTAATAGGGGAACCAATATTGGATAACCCAGGTTGTCTGAGCTTTCCAGAAAGCCATCCACTATACCATACTAACTCTTTTAAGACAATTTAGGTTGTCCACTTCTGGATCAGATTTAGTGCTGTCAGCTTTTCTATCCAATCTCAGAGTCTCTGCTTCTCAAAGAATCCTTTATTGACTAAGAACATATTTATCTAGGATGCTCTGTCTATAGCCAACATGGGTGAAACATACATGTGTCCTTTTCTTTAAAGCCTTAATCCAGGCAAATAGTTCACCAGTTTCAATATACACATTTCAAACAAAACCAGAGTTCTGGGGAAAGTTATTATTATGTTTTCCTTTTCATGCCATTGATGATGCTATGGCTATTCCTCAAAGGGGCAGTTTTACTAATGATTTTCATTTACAAAGCACATAAATGTAACTTTGTATTAACTTTGCATATAGAATCAATTCTCAACTTTCACAGGGCAACATTCCTAGAAAATGGCGACAAAGTCAAAAACACCCATGGGAAATGAGGTTTAGGTTTCTGCAACCACCAAAAACTGTAATCATTCACTAGAGATGGCTGAAAATACACGTTTCTGCATGTAGTTCTTTATAACAAAACATTATGCACTTTTCCTAACACAGTATCCATGAAATAACCATAAAATGTAGTACACAAAAAAAAACGTGCAAAACATTTTTTCTCACTAGTTATTCTCTAGAATTCTGTGACATTTTGTGTTATCTCAATTAAAAAGTATTTCAGGCAATATTCACTTTTCATAACACATGTAATCTATAATGTCATAAATGCTTTCCTCCTTTTTTTGAATATAACAAATAGTGCATTTGTTAACACCAAACTCCTACATGGACAGAGGCTGCAGACATTTCAGCAGGAAATTAATTTAATGCCTTTATTTTCTCACTAGGCCAAATCACTGACTTTGCACACTTGGGCTTAGAGCCCAAAGGACTTGCACTATGCTTTGGGGACATAAATGCAACACAAAATTTGAGTTTTTAAGGCTAATAATGAAAATATGCAACAAATGTATGGGGAGCTCTTTACTCTAAAATGAGATGGTGAACAAGACCAGTGAAGCACCTAGCAGGATACCAGCTACTTTACAAATTGGGCAGATCAAGCCTTTCATTTTTTTTTCTTTATTGTGAATAGCTGCAAATGTGCATGGTTAACAACATGAAAGTGAAAATGAGGTTGCTAATAAAAATTGTAGGAATGTGAAGTCCTGAAAGTCAAATGCTCAGTTGTTGAGGATTGATTGTATTTTGCATTTACCAGCAGGTTGTTTCCCCCAACAGTAAGCTCCTTGAGGGCAAGGAAAGTTTCCTTTTTTGTCTCTGCAGTCCCATTGCCTATCCCATTCAGTAATTATTATTAGGAGAACTGTTTTAAAATAATATTTTGTTTTTCCCCAATTGCATGTAAAGACAATTTTTAACATTCATTTTTTTTGAAATTTTGAGTCCTAAATTTTCTCCCTCTCTCTGTCACCTCCTCCTCCCTGTGACAGTAAGCAATTTGATATAGGTTATACATGTTCAATCACATAAAACATATTACCATATTAGTCATGTTGTGAAAGAAGGCATAGACCCAAAGGGAAAAAACATACAAAAAATAAAATAAAATGAAAAATGGTATGCTTCAATCTGCATTCAGACTCCATCAATTCTTTCTCTGCAGGTGGATAGCATTTTTCATCAAGAGGCCTTTGGAAGTGTCTTGGATCATTGTACTGCTGAGAATGGCTAAATCACTGACAGTTGATCATTGTACAGTAATGCTGTTGCTGTGTACAATTTTCTCTAGAAGAACTTTTAATGAAATATCACTAATTAATAGAACTATATCATTATTGAAACTTCTCCTAAAAATAATCTAAAGGTAATACAGTCTTACAGCAAAAGGTTGGGGACTGAAGAATCAATCCTAGTCCCAATTCTGTCACTAAAGGTATGGACTCAAGCAAGTACATCACCACTGATCTGGAGGATTTCCCCAATCCTCTAGTAGGTACTTAGCATTTGAAAATCAGCACAAGCAAATAATTGGAGCCTCAGATTTGGAGAATGGGAATAAAGAGCTTGAGGACAGATACTCTTATAGTTCCAATTGCCTAGGCTGGGAAACCATTGCAGCTGTGTCTTGTGCCCTCACATTACTATCCACTTTGTTTTCTCAAAGTCATTTTAGGCTCTAATTATTTTCAGCAGAACTCTAGGACCCATATATCTCAACCCTTTAAGCAACTCCTTGACCCTCAGGGAAAGCCAGGGAAATAGCCACCTAAGTAAAAAGAATTCCTGTCCTTCAAGAGCCTTAATCATTAACATTCACTTTAATGCTGTCAGGGGTTTGTTCTAGGCTTAGAGAAGGAGCCTCTTCAAACTAATCTAAAAAGGCCTGAGATGAAAATCCAGTTAGGTGGGTTAATGTGAGCTGTGGCTGTGAAAGAGGGGTTATTTGTTCTCCTGCAAGCTCTCCTTTCCTCACCTGTTCTAGGAAATCTTTACTCACTGTTGCCGTAACTGGTCAACAGCATTGTTTGACCTTTTCTCAAAAGTAGTTTTGGAACAATAGTGATTTATTACATGTTCAGTATTAACAGCTAGCTTGGCTACCTTATGGTTAGTGTAGGTGGATGATTTTGAGATCTCCTAATGCTTTGTGCTTTGTTCTTAGGACTTTCGACTCTTTTCCTGTAAAAAACAATCTCAGAGGCTGATGCTCTTAATGACTGATTGACCTGATTGACCTCTGTAACAGAATCATTTCCTGGCTTTCTCATAACCATCTACCTCCTTGATCTTTATTTTCTCTTTGTTCTTCTTCCTTCTACTTCAGAACTAGCAGTATGGTGATTTAAATGTTTGTGGGATCCCTTTTGTTTTTGTGTCACATTTGTTATAACCCCACCCTTCCTTTTAACCAAGAAAAACAATTAAACAAAACCTTTTGATTCATGAACTGTATCAGACCAGATAGGCAGTATCTTCTGCCAGTAGAAGCCCTCAGCCTCTCTGCTATTGTGGGGAGACGTA